AAAATGGATTGAGTGCCTGATGATTGCCAGGTATCACAGGAATACTACTGAAGAATGCTGCCTTTCAGTGTGTTTCTCAAAATACAAGGAAAAGCTGTGGTCTTGTTCTTAAAGGTTTCATTTGTTTTCATCTTAGGGACCCCAGGAATTAGGTAACTGGTTAAGTTTTTGTCTTTACCTTAATCATCAGCAAGTCTGAAATCGGATCTGTGGTCTATCAGTAATAATTACCTAAGTTCCCCATTATTTCCTATCTCAGCACCTTGTCTGTTTGCTTACAGCTTTAGTCACTATCTGAACATATTAATTTCTGTGTTTTCTTGTGGATTGGCAGGTAAGCCCCATGAGGGCAAGAACCGTGTCTGTCTTGTTTACTGTCTCTCCAGCACACATACAAGGCACTCAATCAATATTTGCTGGAAGAAAGAATAAATTAAAACACGTATAAATAATAAACAAGCAAACAAATGAATTCTGGCTAGGTTAAGATTTTAGAAGGAGAGCATTTCTGGTGATAAATTCCAGGAAACTGCAATAGGACTAGGTTGATGGAGAGGAGGCAGAAGTCAGTGGAATTGAAACCAAGGAAGTAGTGGGCCAAGATCTGGGACTGGCCTTCCGCTTGGAGTTTGAGGTTTCCCAGGATTGTGGCGGGAAGCAGGGTGGAGCTGAGAGCGAGTCAATGCCACAATCCTCAGTGATCACAGATCCACAGAAGACAGCACCCGGGAAAGAAAGAGGGTTGCATCAGCATCAGAGGAAAGGAGGTGTACCATGAAGAGGAGTTAATGTAATGTAGAGCAGTGTAGAGGAGAATACTTCCCACTGTCTCCATGCCCTGCCATTAAGTAGGACTTGGGGAAAAGCAGATCTGAAGGAGAATCGTTGCCCTCAAGAGTTTCAATAAGTGCAGAGGAGGAGAGAGTGGAGGCTTCGGATGTATAGACTGTGGATTGTTCAGATGGAGTGCTGCAGGGCAGTACAGGGACGAGAGCCCAGAAGGGGACAGGACCCATTCGGGTTTGTGTGTATAGCAGTGTCCGTGGATAAGAGGAACTCAGTGGCCCTGCCAGCCACCCTGGCACAGGGTGTGCATTCTGAGCCCCCATTCCTTAGAAGGTTTATGGACGCACAAGAGAATGCAAACCTAGGGTAAAACCAACCAGGACTGAAAAAGGGTCATTTGTAGATGATTTTTTTTTTTCCTTTTTGTCTTTTTTACTGACCGGTAACGGGATCGCAACCCTTGGTGTCGCGCCCGTACCGGGGACCGGCAACGGGATCGCTACCCTCGGTGTTGTGCCCGCACCGCGCTCAGCCAGTGAGCAGGAACTGGTCTCCACATGGGATCCGAACCCTCAGCGGGAGCGCCGCCACACTCCCAAGCGGTGTACTCTCCAGTGCGCCACCGGGCCGGCCCCATTTGTAGATGATTAATTTGGATTTACAAAAAATAGAATTAGTGGAATCGTGATGGTTATGTTCAAATTATAAAAAGACTTATGAGGAAGAGAGAGTATACTTTATTCTTCACTGTTCTAGCAGCTTCTACCTCAACATCAAGCTCAAGGGCATGGGCTAGTTCATTCAGGCCTTCGTGATCATATCTAATTCATTTGTATTGTCTCTCTCTCCTCTCCTTTCTCCAGCACGCCATGGGTTCTCTTCCACAGAAGTCTTTTTTAGTCTATTCCATTTTGGATCATAATAGGAGGATAGGTTATTTTTTAAATGTTATCAGTTTGCAAGATTTCATGATTCTCTTAATTTCCCACAGGTTTTTTTTTTTTTT